CAAAATTAAAATATAAACTGGTGACAATTTACATATCACACCCTCTGTGTGTTTGTGTGTATGCATGCATATATATATATATATATATATATATATATATTTCATTAAATCAAGGATAGCCTGAATTTCATCCAATCATTGCAGTTCTTGCATTTTGTTGTTTTGTTTTGTTATTTGATAACACTAGAATGCCAAATTTTGTCTAATTTTAAAGACAAGTCGCTACTAGTTACTTCTGAAGTCTTCTTTGAACAGTAATATATCAGTTTACATGGAAAGAAATAATAAGTTATTAATAAGAATTGAAATGAATGCATGCAAGATGTCACAGCTCTAGCATCACTCCTTCATTGTCTGCCTATGAACTTTTCAGTCCACCCTGGTATTTACTTTATTAAACTAGTTTGACTCATGCTGCCAATTTTTTTTTTTTCATTGTTATACTCCGCTCTTTCTTTTTTTCACATCTCACCTTTTATAAACATCTTGGAGCAGTTCAGCATTATCGTGGGAAAGGTACTGTCACCTGGCGTCCACAGTACGAGAGAAATAGTTCTGTTAGATAAAAAAACACTTGATACATATTTAGTAAGACGTCAAATTGTACACATTAGTGTTTTTACCCCCTTCCCCAGACATTATTGTCTGTCTAATCTTTGTGGTAATGTTGACTTCTTTTGAATGACCTTGATGATGCGGCTTTTATCACCATTGTCACCAATTTGATTCTGAGTCGCCAGTAAGGTCATCCATTACACTAAGGCAGTGGTTCCCAAACGGTGTGTCACGCCTTATTAGGTGCAGCAGAAGAGGATAGGTGAGGCAGAATGATTGAAAGACAATCAAAGATTTAGAAACAGTTTAAAAAAAAATTCATATGTTAAAAATAAATATGATTTCAAAATTTAAAATATTATTATGGATTACTTGTAATTGCATAGATGAATCCCATTATAAATAATTATTGACCAATTTTATCATTGTCATATTTTTTGCATTATATCAAGTACTAGCAGTAGAGCCCAGCGTTGCCCGGGGATGTAACAGTAAGAGATAGATCAAGTATCGATCATCAAAAAGACTGAAAAATAAAATTGACAAAGATTATTGTTTAAGGTTGACGGACACGCATGTCTTAATTAGTTTTTTTTTTTTTTTTTTTTACGAATTGGTCAAACTCAAACAAAAACATTGTTTTCAATCGTTAAGAGTATCGATTGAATAGAATTTTATTATAAACAATTGTCTTGTAAATGGAATTTTTAAAGCATTCTGAATGTAAAAATAAAGAAAAAAGTGTGCAAGACAATAAGAAACACTACCTGCCAAAAAAAAGTGAAGTTTTGTTGAAATCGGTTGAAAAATGTAGGAAATCTGATCCCATATATAAACGAACACACACACACAAAGTACCAAACTGGGTTTTAGAATAAGTATAGCTCGATATTAATAGGTATAACTCGATATGAGTTGCCCTCCTTTCATTAATGCCTCTTAATCGCGTTTTCAAATTGATTTCGTGCAAAAACAATTGTTTTTCCAATTTTTGGCACTGTCAGAACCACCGCAAGGTAATTTTACATAGTCCTGTGAAGTTTTGTTGAAATCGGTTAAAAAATGTAGGAAATCCGATCCAATATATAAACGTACAGACACACACACACACACACACACACACACTCTGCGTTTTATAATAAGTAAGATTAAGAATATAACAACCAGGCTCTGCAAATTGGGGGAGAGAGTTATCAATGATAATGTTCTGTCTTCGAATATTAACCCTCCCGTTAACCCCCTATGTTTTTCCTATTTTTAAATGTACTTTATATCACATAAAATTTGGTGAGGCACAAGCAAATTTTAATTTCGAAAATGTGGCCCAGAGAAAAAAAAAGTTTGGGAGACACTACACTCAGGTATGAAACGTCATCATTGGATTGATGGAAAGTTTTAATGCAGTTATCTAAAAATAAACATTGACTTCAAAGCAGAAAACCCCTAGAATTTAAGCGGTCAGTCTTGAATTGAGAAGGACTGTCATACTTAAATTATGCCTTAATGCAGCTAAGTGGAAAGTGATAATGTCCCTTTCACAAAACCGTCTTGTATCCATTAAAATAACAATATATATATGTGTGTGTATTCACAGCACACTGGAGATAATATGTCTATTTAATTCACCCCACCCTCAATAGCTGATTCTTTTGATATAAACATTTGTTTTTGTTAAATTGGCTTCAAGGTCTTTGAGAGGTCATTCGTTCTGTAGTAAGTACTTTTATATACTTATAAAATCTATGAGACTATACTATAGTGTATGCATTTTTAAATTAATGTTTGCTTTTTTTTTTTTTGATAAAGTTACCATCAGTCATGGTAATTGAACCATGTTTATGCTAATGAAGGCATAAAACCCATTACCTGTCTTATTGTCAATCATCTTGTGCATAAATGGTAAAAGAAGACTTGATGCAAGATTCTGCCGTGATAACACATCGTTTAAAGTGTCATATTTACAAAGATCTGAAGTTTTCATTCTGAACCCAATATGTGATTTAATTTGGGGACTCTTCTTTGGTTGGGATGAGAACTTTTCATTTTTCCCTGAAATACAACCAAATGATATTCATTATCTTTTTAGATTCAGCTGTAGCCTATGAGCAAATATCTTTGAGTAATTCCTTTATTTTTCCACTTACACAATTTTTATTTAAATAACTGAATATTCCTGAAATCAGCCAGCCTCCCTTTTCTTTTCTATTTTCTTCTTTTTCTTCATGAATCAAATATTCATGACGGATTTGTTTTTATTGTTTAAGTTTTTAAAGAGACAAGTTTTTTCAGTTTCTTTGTATACCTGATCAAAGCCCAGGAAAGCACCTGCGGTCGCCGATTATCCGCTCCTTACAAAGCCGACCTTGACCTTCACAACTCTCGATCTCGCAGATCTTTCAAGCAACAGGCCAGATGTCAAACCATACCTAGTACGCATCTGACTATGCTGAGCCATTCTAAACATCGGCAACTATAGACTATAATTTATTATCTACGGCCTTCTACTCCTCTATACTTAACAAATCTTTGCAAATATCCTTAGACACTTTTTTCGCCCAAACTAGGCAGCTCGGCCGGAGGCCTGGATCAAAGTACTACACTACCTTTGTGAACTTCCGGTGCTTTTGTCGAGTGTTACTCTTCGGCGCGATCCCGTCTCCACGGTCGATCCGCCCTGGAAGGTGTAACACCTCTCTGACCTACTCGCCTGGTGATACACTCTGGCGCGATCCCGTTTCCGCGGTTGATCCGCCCTTGGAGTTAATATTTCTGCCTTGGCCCTGTTTAGGGACTCCGTCTTCGCCTGGTTTTGGCGCGATCCCGTTCCCCGGTCGATCCGCCCGTGATAAATCACTGGTCTGCCTTGGCCCTGTTTAGGGACTCCGTCTTCGCCTGGTGATACACTTTGGCGCGATCCGTTCCGCGGTCGATCCGCCCAGTGAACCATCACTGGTCTGCCTTGGCCCTGTTTAGGGACTCCATCTTCGCCTGGTGATACACTTTGGCGCGATCCCGTTCCGCGGTCGATCCGCCCTGTGAAATAATCACTGGTCTGCCTTGGCCCTGTTTAGGGACTCCGTCTTCGCATTTCGGCCGAACCAACTACGTTCGCCGACCAATCCCTAAACTACCGGGCCAGACCGGCTACATTTTACCGAACCAGCTACGTTCGCCTGCAAACCTAAACTACCGGGCCAGACCAACTACCGGACCAGACCAGCTACAATCGACCGAACCAGCTACGTTCGTCGATTAACCAGTTTTCGGACCACACGTGTGTGAATAAAAACGACACTTTTGTTCATCAAAAACCTTTGCCTTTGTCCCGTCATTGTCTTGGCTGTTCACATTTATCGTATGCAAAAAACCTTGCGGGGCGACATCCTTCGGCCCCGCAACAAGTGGTGACTTCCGACGTGAGACAGCTAAATGATGGAGTCGGCTAAAAGTGATTCTTTGGACATTTGCGATCATACCTCTGCCTGCATACCACCATAATGCCAAGAACTGGTTCTTGCAGGTGGAATCCATCTTTTTCAATGCTTTCGCGAATGTAATGCAAAACCCCATCTGATATGATGGACGAAATTTCTGATGTCCTCTCCGATTTGCGCGAGCATGAACCGTACGATCACTAAAGGAAGCAATCCTCAAGCGAACCGGACGTTCCGAGGAAGATATGATCCAAGAGATTCACTATTAAAACGCCATCCCAGCTTCTCAGATATATGAGAACCAGCTGGGAAAGCACAACGTCAAAAAGGTTCTTCGTTTATGGCTGGAGCATTTGCCTAAATCTGTTGCAAAATCATCGCACCAATGACGAATGATTTGGCAGAATCTGCTGATCTTGTTTTTGCACAGTTCGACCACAGCGTTAACGCTGTTCGCGCCCGACATTATTTTGGCCGACCTTCAACAGCAAATTCGCACTCCAATCTCCCTGCGCCCGCGGACGAGGACATCGACCCCATCTCGACGGAGACGAACCCCCCAGCCGAAATATCGCACATTCGGCGATGAATATAAACCTCCTGTACACCCGTCGGCCCGGGACGGAAGATAAACCGGAGCCGGTGCCAACACAATGTCGTCTATTTTTACGTTTGGGATCGACGGAACAAGTTGAAATTCCTGGTGGACACAGGTGCGGCCATCAGTTTCAGAACGACCACACCGCTAAAATTGTTTCAAACTACGAGCAGCGAATGGTTCCGCGATGATACGGAAAAGGACCCTTATTTGAATATCGGCATGCGACGCGATTTCACTTGGACATTTTTATTGTTTACCCATCCTCGGCGCGGATTTCCCTATTACGCACTGGCGGTCCATATGAACCCTTCTGTCCGATACGACGACAGATCTCCGTGTCTTAGGGTTTCCCACAGGAATCAGCGTCGCAACATGCCATGGTCGCGAAGATCTCCTGACGCAGTTCACGGATGGCGCTGCCACTCCAAGTAACGGCTTCAGGTGACCATCAGACTCAGCACCATCAGAACCGAGGTCCTCCCGCACACTCCCATCACGACGACTCGCTCCGCACAAACTGGCGTACGCCAAGGGACAATTCGACAAAATGCTCGAGTGATGGCATCATTCGTCCTTCCGATAGCCCTTATGCCTCGCCACTACGCAGTTTAAACCTGGTGGTGAAAGAATTTCGGATATGCGTCGACTACCGGAAATTGAATGCATCGACCGTACCAGACCGATATCCTGTCCCTCATATCCATTTTTGCATCCGGATTGATGGGGATCTTCTCGAAAATCGACCTGACAAAGGCATTTTAAGACGTCCCAAAAACAGCAGTCACAACACCGTTTGGCCTATACGAATTTCTAAAAATGCCGTTCATGCCCAACCTTCCAACGACTCATTCCTGCGGACTTCCGCATTTTATATCGACGACATCTTGGTAACAGACGCCGATTCTCAATGCGAAAGTCTTCCAGCGACTCTCGCACTACGGCCTGAAGTTGAACCTGGACAAGTGCGTTTTCAGGGCGCCCAGCGTTGACTTTCTCGGGCACCGCACCGACGCAGACGGCATAGCACCTCTGCCAGACAAGATCAGCTCGATCCGGGACTTTCCTAAACGTCCAAAATTTCCTCGGCATGCTCAATTTTTATCGTCGGTTCATGTGCGCTAATCCTCCAGCCACTGACGAACCTGCTGCAAAAAACAAGGACATCTCTTTGGAGGGAGATGCTCTGCACGCATTCCAACAAAGGCTGCATTGGCTTTTTCGCAATCCAGATTTCCTGACAACCGACGCATCCGACGCTGGTGTGGGCGCGGTGGTTGAGCAAAGTTCAACTTCGCATTCTTTTTCAAAAGCTTTCGCCAGCCCAGAGAAAATATTTGCTGGCCATTTAAATTTCAGGCACTTACTGGAAGGTCGAGATTTTACCATCTGGACCATAAACCGTTGAAACCGCGATGGTCCTAACAAGAACCTCCGGCATCTCGACTACCTGTCACAGTTCTCGACCGATATTCGTCACATAAAGGGGAAGGACAACGCCGTCGCAACACCCATTTATCGCGAGCGGAAATTCATCTCTTCAGACCGGCGTCTTGGGTCAAGATTCCTACCCCACGCTATCCTTTCGATACTTCTTTAAAGCTATACGACACCCTGTATGTGATATATATATATTCGGATATTCCAACATTTCCAATCCATAAGCGAGCTACGGTCAAACTTATTACCGACCGATTCGTTTGGCCCAATATGAATGCGGACATTCGAGATGGGTTTCCACGTGCATGGAGTTTAAGTCCAACATGTCGGACCTTCAGCCGGTCCCGATGCACGGTTCTCAAAATACGAAACCAGTATCTTTTTGACGGTTGTGGATCGTTTTTCGCGGTGGCCGAATACCTATAAAGACACTTCTGCTAACACAGTCTCTAACCATCCTGAAAAACTTTCGGCACGCCCAAAACAGAATTCAAGTCGTCCTTTTCAGTTTACCAACCTGCAATAAAGACTACCGCTTAGAGCGCCAACGGCGTTGAAGGTTTCATCGGTCCCTTTAAACCTCCCTGGCCACTAGACCTGACACTATCAATTGGGTGGACGAATTCTCCTATTGTAAAGGAGGATTCACCCGCCGAACTATTTTCGGTATATTTCCCTTCAACGTTTTCAAAACCAACATCTCCTTTCGTCGAGGAACTCCGCCACAAAATGGCCCATTGCTTAAATATGCAACTCCGACAGCAACCGGTTGAATTCATACATCCCTCAACACTTGCGAGATTGCAAATTCGTTTTCGTACGGAACGACGCCGTGACCACGACCACGCCAGCATACCAAAAGTCCTTTTCAGGTTCTTCGATAAATATTACGATCAAGCGCGCCAACTCGACCGACACCATCGCAATCGATCGGACCAAGCCTGCTTTTCTGGAAAAACACAGTATGGGCTCTGCGGCCCCTAATGCTATTCAGCGCACCCATCAGACGCAGCACCGCAGACATCAAACGACACCCCAGCGACTCCTGTGCGGCGGCCGATCCGGTAGGAGGGTCACTTTCCCTAAAGACCTTCGTAAATATATATATATATCAATTTTTCTGGGGATTGTCGCGGTCGCCGATTATCCGCTCCTATATATATCTCGCATCTAGGTCAAGCAACAGGCCAGAAACCGGACAGCTAGTCCATATATATATATATATATATTCTAAACATCGGCAACTATATAATTTATTATCTACGGCCTTCTACTCCTCTGGCCAGGGGTATTAACAAATCTTTGCAAATATCCTTCGCCCAAACTAGGCAGCTCGGCGGAGGCCTGGATCAAAGAGTTTTGTGAACTTCCGGTGCTTTTGTCGAGTGTTACTCTTCGGCGCGAAATCCGCCCTGGAAGGTGAACACCTCTCTGACCTACCTCGCCTGGTGATACACTCTGGCGCGATCCCATTTCCGCGGTTGATCCGCCCTGTGGATTCTGCCTTGGCCCTGTTTGAGACTCCGTCTTCGCCTGGTGATACACTTTGGCGCGATCCCGTTCCGCGGTCGATCCGCCCGTGAAGTAGCATCACTGGTCTGCCTTCCTGTTTAGGGACTCCGTCTTCGCCTGGTGATACACTGGCGCGATCCCGTTCCCGCGGTCGATCCGCCCAGTGAATAATCACTGGTCTGCCTTGGCCCTGTTTAGGGACTCCATCTTCGCCTGGTGATACACTTTGGCGCGATCCCGTTCCGCGGTCGATCCGCCCTGTGAAGTTCACTAGTCTGCCTTGGCCCTGTTTAGGGACTCCGTCTTCGCATTTCGGCCGAACCAACTACGTTCGCCGACCAATCCCTAAACTACCGGGCCAGACCAGCTACATTTTACCGAACCAACTACGTTCGCCTGCAAACCTAAACTACCGGGCCAGACCAACTACCGGACCAGACCAGCTACAATCGACCGAACCAGCTACGTTCGTCGATTAACCAGTTTTCGGACCACACGTATGTAAATGTGTGAATAAAAACGACACTTTTGTTCATAACAAAAACCTTTGCCTTTGTCCCGTCATTGTCTTGGCTGTTCACATTTATCGTATACTTAAAAACCTTGCGGGGGCGACATCCTACTCGGCCCCGCAACAACCTAAAGATGGTTGGAGATTTGGCATTCACTGTTGCAAATCTTAACGGGTAAAATTTCTCACCATGTTTTCTGAAATTTTTTTTTTAATTTTAGGAATATAATGTTGATTCATTGGCCCAGTTTTAGTTCCAATAGCAAATCTATCAAGTTAAACAATTATTTTTTCCTTCGTTTGAATGTAAACTGTTAATAAATAAAATCTCTTAATAATTTAAAAAAAAAAAGTTTATTGTCGCAAAAAATATCTCAAATGATTGTCTATGGATGAAATCTTTGATTTTTTTTCAAAGACTGGATAAAAGCATCCTAACGAGAACCTTCTAAGTTATATATATATATATATATATATATATATATATATATATATATATATGATAATCGGAAAACTAGTAATTGCCGACGCGTTTCGTCCAATGTGGACTTTATCAAAGCAAAATACGAAAATAAATTAATTGAACAAAGTAACTAATAAAAACAAAAACAGAATGTTCCTAGCAACTGGAATGTAGAGAAACGCTATTTTCATATTTTTATCAGTATTTGTCACGTGTGGAGAATATTGTCATTATATATATTTTCGTATTTTGCTTTGATAAAGTCCATATTGGACGAAACGCGTCAGCAATTACTAATTTTCCGATTGTCATTTTATTCATAAATATTGTCTTCTCTACTGGCTAAATGGGAGAAATTTTCATATATATATATATATATATATATATATAATATTTTTGTTTAAAAATATGATTCCTTCGCTACATAAGAGTTCTCATGTTTCAAAAACGGGAGTCGAAATATCCAAATAATTATTAAAATTAAGTTGGATTGTGGTGTTTAGTCCCGTTTCATCTTCAAGCGAAATTTTAAGAATAAGCTATCTATCGGTTTACGTGTATTTTTAGGCACGGTCCGTTACAGAATTCGTTATTTTGGCTAGACTATTTTCCTTCGTTAAGTGGTCAGAAAGTTAATTCTTATCAATAGATTCATCATCTTCTAAGAGGTTTTGGTAAGGTTGAGTAGGGTATCTATTTCAAGGCTAATGTTCGCGGTCACCCTTTAGTTAGTTCCCAGTGAGGGATATTTTTATGGCGCGCCTACAATCGTTATGTGTCCGGGGAATTGTCTTTTATTATTGTCCATCTGATTATCTATTTATTTATTCAAGTGGGTGCTTTATATACAAATCGTATTGCACTGAATTTCAATTTGTTTTTTTGTTTTTTGACGACTACAAAAAGGGTTTTTCCTATTTAATGATTTGGCTTTGCTTTTAAGAATTTTACTTAGCTATAGGATTTTTTTTTTTTTTTTATATGCTAATTATTTAATGCGAAAGTTTGTTGATGTCTGCAAAAAACCGTTAACTCCTGCCTATGGTTTAATAATTTTTCATTATTTAGAAATTTAATGATGTGTAGTTTTTCCTGTAAGCATAAAGTGCATGGGTCATCCCAGGTTTTACAGGTTCTTGTTTTATTTACTATTTTCCATTTTACTTTTGGTGTTTTATTCGTTTCTTTTAGATGCCAGAAATATATAAAAACAAAAATACTAAGGAACCCCGGATATACACCCAACGTGTTCTTTTCTATTTTCTGCATACCTATATATATATATATATATATATATATATATATATATATATATGTAACGAATGATGAAAATAGTTGTTTAAAATCGTACGTGCTAGAAAAATATAAAATCTGTAGACCAATTTATTATCCTAAACTAATAAAACGCTGAATGGAACGCCACGGTTTCATCAGGTAGTTTACTCAGCGAAATCATTACATACAACACCACAAGGACATAATGTGCCCAAAGTAATAATGAGGGTGACGACGGGTGGGAAAAATTGTTTTTCTAACTTCACCCGACTTTGTATAGCCCCAAAGTCAACTTCCTCATGTGCCTACATCTTGCCATAATTTCGGACCTCTCATTCAACAACTCAACACCATCCCTGTATGTTGCAATGGTCAACTTCTCCTGGCATAGCCCACAGGAGCCGATATTCACTTTACCAGTTTTCATTTTTCTTAAAATTTAATGGCCGGACTTCTTTCTTTTTTTCTTTCTAAAACTCCAATAATAGTTTGTTAGCCTTGTATTTGTTATAGACAAGCGTATGGTTGCAAGAAAGAAATACGATAACAGCAGAAATAGATTTACGTGATTTATTTCAACAGGAACGCGTGGGTTTGAGACAGCTACCTTGTGGTATAGTTCATAAGCCGGCTTCCGATCTGGGTTGATCTCTCATAGTTCTCACTGGTTGGCGTGACGCTCCTCCTGCTGACTGCTGCCGACCGCTCATGCTGACCGTGACAGGTCTCTTCCCTGGCCTCCTGTTGATTGATGTTGTACTTCCCCGTGTGACCCCTTTTATGGCGTTTTTTATGGCTTAACAGGCTCGTAAAACGACCCAAGTATAATTAGGAGGGAAGCATTTTTATTGGTCGAAAAATAGAAACACTTTAAAATATTATTTTATTTTTCGACCGGAACTTGTGCGTCGGGCATATGCGTAAACGACGATAATGGTCATTTTGTGACGGGGCCTTGTCCCGTTCACATCCGGCTCTCGCTCTTGAGTATGTTAGTTTATTTGCCTGCAAATCAGCCGAGATATGTCTTATTTTATTTTATAACAAGGCTCCCCGAGTTCTCGGTCTGATTTACAGTGAGCGTTATTCGTGTATATTTGGGTGATTAATTCATGATAAAGTCTCTGAAGCGTGTAGGAAGTTGCCCTCGTGTTCTTCTTATTGGCATTTGTTTTGGTATGGAATTATTTGCTGAATTACGTGTCCCAGAAGGATGTGGAAGAGAATGATCCTGGTGACTGTTACATGGTGGAGGCAGAGGGATTGTATTAGATAGATGTGTTGGACGTGGAGCCAGTCGTCGGATATGTGCACGGTGAATCCAGATTGTATCACCATTATTGTTTTGCACCTGACACATCATATTGTTCGTTTTTATAATGGTGTAATTTCCTAACCAGGGCAGATGAGAGGATTGGGCAACAGTTGAGTGTGGCCGGTGAAGTAAAACCTTGTATTGGGTCCTTGTATGTGAGGCGATTTAAGTTAGTCTCAAGTTTGTGGCCAGCTTCATCGTTTGCCAGGGTGACGTGGTGGTGAACCTGCTTTAGCAGGGCATTAATTTGCATTCCATATGCTCCAGGATCGTCACTTGCGATTTCTTTTCTGTGTAGTGTAGGTAGGCCGATGTTGGGGTGACGGCCAGTAATGGCATAGTGCGGGGAGACACCGGTGGCGCTGTTGGTCGTGGCATTCAGGGACGAAACGACAGATTCTAGAACGTCTGTCCATTCATAGTTCCTGTCTTCGTATAACATATAAAGTGCGTTCTTCATCGTGCGATGTTGTCTCTCGATATTTCCTGAGCTTTGCAGGCGCCAAGGACAGTGAAGTTCTTGCGTGATTGACATCTGGTTACAGAATTGTCGATAGACTTCTCCAGTGAAGTGTGTGCCTCGATCAGAGGATACTATGCGTGGAATCTCTCTGTGTCGAAGGAAGAACTGGTACAATCCGCGGGCGGCGTCGGTCTCTCGCGCATGGTATGGCTGTAAAATGTCGGCTGAAGCTATCCAAGATGGTTAGGATGTAGCGTTTTCCCTTTAAGTTCGGCATTGTGACAAAGTCTATAAAGACGAGATCGAATGGTCTCTTTCCTCGTTTGCAGTGGCCCATGGGCCAGTGGGTACGTCTACCGTAGTTGCCCTTGCACTTAGCACACGTGTCGCAAGAATCGACATAGGCCTTGATGTCGCGGTTTTTGAATTCTCACCAGTAGCTGGAAAAGAGTTCTCGCATACGGGTGACACCTGAGTGGTTGTTGCCCTCGTGTACCTGGTAGAGGTATCTGGATCGTAGTTTGT